CCACCCACCCACCACCCAACAAATCAACCAATCCACAAACGCACTCACCCAAACATAATACCCAAATGTACGATCATCCCAAACCACCCAACCAACCACCACAGCCACCCAACCATCCACTCCAGTCGCCCAACCAAGCGGCAGCCCCAATCGACCACTCAACCACCCCATGTTTTGGAGCCCGCCCATCCAACCGCCCAACCAACCAACCAACCCTCCAAACCCCCCCATCCACCCAACCACCCACCTAACCACACCATGAACCACCCAACCACCCAACCACCCAACAACCGAACCACCCGACCACCCACCCAACCACCCAACCAACCAACCAAGCAACCAAGCAACCAACCCATCAAACCACCAAACCGCCCACCTAACCACCCAACCAACCAAGCAACTAGCCACACAACCACCTATCCATCCGCTCAACCACCCAACCAACCACCTAACCCAACCGCTCAACCACCTAACCCAACCACCTAACCACCCAACCAACCAAGCAACCAGCCANACCCAACCACCTAACCACCCAACCAACCAAGCAACCAGCCACACAACCACCCATCCATCCGCTCAACCACCCAACCAACCACCTAACCCAACCGCCCAACCACCCAACCACCCAACTAACCAACCAACGTACTACTGTTCGTAATTATTATTATTATGTTTTTTTTTTACAGTCGCGAGACTCGACTTATTGTGTCCGTCGCTTATCGTACGCATTGTGTTGCCGTTATCTTTCGCAGTGCCGTCGGCCAGCCATTGAGACTGTTCATAATTGCTAGGTTCACTTATTCGACCTTGCGACACAACATGGACGACGTAGTTGTTGTTGTGAAAGAGGCTGTGGATAGAAAGAAAATCGTCGTGAGAGAGACAGTGTGTGAGCGCGATACTGAAAACGAAAGAGACTTTGAACACTGGGAAGGGGTTGTCGCCACGAAAACACGTGTGTACTACGAGTTCATCGATGACACCCTCGCTTTGAGGGTCGTGGCGGGGTTGGGGTACGACGACCTTGATTGCCTTGATGAGGTTGTGATGCATGCAAAAAAGCTTTCGGATGTTGTTCCCGACGCCTGTGAACCCCCCGACTTCGATATAATTGGTCATTTGCTAAGGTGCATCGTGTCAGTCGTTGCGGTCGAGCATGTGGAAAGGTTAGCACGCAACGCATGGTATTTCTCCAAACTCGACAGACCGCTGCAACGCCGTAGTTTTCTCAGCGGAGATGTGCGCAGTGTGTTGCCAATAGAAGGTAGCGGACAATAGTGCGAAAGTGCCAACGAACCATCACCCCGCTTGTCTCATGCGTAGTCTGAAATAGGTGGGTTGACGAACAATACCGTAAAGTTTTTCATCAATCGACAGTGTTCAAAATCGCGACTACCTGCTCATCCCATATATATGTATACAGGGTCAACATTTGCATTATTCGTTACTCGATCGTTGGGTTCATAACTTGCGTTATTGGTTTCTGTGAAATGCAGCACTTTTCAAACGTCATACGAAATAAGCGACGATGCATTGCGCGCCAATTATTTTCCGATGTTACCATACCATAAAACTGACAGGCGGCGACACCGTATACTATTACGAATCAATGACTCCCGTAACAGTTCCTGTCGGCGATGCAGTGGGATACCGCAATGGAGACAATAAGGTGGTTCGTCATTTAGTTGTTAGCGTCGAGGAGGAACGAGTCGTCAGGCTTACTACAGAGACCTATATTCGTGACCACACCATCGAACACATTCTCGTCCTAATGTTTAAGCTGACCACGTACTTCAGCACCTTTTTTCTCAAACCGGTTGCCGAAGATTTGATGTATGATATCGTCTTCCCCCTTGTGCATCGCATACTGTACACACACTACGGGACGGTCGCTCGGGACGGCGTCTGACGCCTGGTCGCGTCACCGCCCTATTTTGTCTCCGATGGCGAGGATTTCTCTGCCATGTTTTATCTTTGTAGTGCGATACAGCGATGAGTACCATTCATTTTTTTTTCCATATGTTTGTTCGTTGTTGGAGAGAGACAAAATGATGGTTTCAAAGATTGTACATTTTGTGTATACATACACAATCGTAATCTCCGATGTGTTTGTGATATGTTTTGAGTTTTTTTTATTCGCCTGCTTTGCGTTGTGAAATTTGTTTTCGTTTTCGTTATGTGGAGGTACAGTACTAAGGTCATCGGTGACCGTGATGTTGTTTTGTAGATTTATAAAGATTGACATATAAGCGACAAAACAATATGCACCCATTCCCATACATGGACCGCCGACGACGCAGGGCTGGCGTGCGGGCCGACGCAGTTGTGTTTGGAAATGGGACAAATACAGATCCTTTCCGCGACAAGGAGCTGACAGTCGCCGAGATTAGGAGTCGGTGGCCGAGACCCGCAGCGCTTTTGGAGGAGGCTGTGACTTTTGCTGGGCTGGAGGAGCATCTGCAGCAGTGCATAAATCTCCTTATTGGTCGTGCAAATCTCGAACCAAAGCAGAATTGTTACAATGGATATGTCGTTTTTTCTTGGTTGTGCGGGTTCGTCGTTTTCCGACAAAGATTGTCAGATAAGTTCCAAACGGCAATGCGAGAACGATGGCCAGATACAATCATTCGAGGTTTTGAGCTATGACAATGTGATTCTCCTGAAAACGTGTGCCCTCGTCGACGTGCACGGCAGTAAATGCTTCACGACACGATAGATAGATAGATAGATAGATAGATAGATAGATAGATAGATAGATAGATAGATAGATAGATTGATAGATTGAAAGAGAGAGAGAGAGAGAGAGAGAGAGAGAGAGAGAGAGAGAGAGAGAGAGAGAGAGAGAGAGAGAGAGAGTATGCTTGCCTTCAGTGTGAGTACGTAGGTAAGTCCGAGTGTGTGTTTGCCTTGAAACTGACGTTTCCTATTGTCGTGACTTGCAGGGATTGCATTATGTAAAATTTGGTTTCCCTGGTGTACATCATCATCTTCTTCTTATAATCCTCGATCTCTCATTTGAAGTTCATTTATTTCTTTTTGCAATTGTATGTCATTGTACCATTAAATGTGTGAAAATATATATATATATATATATATATGTATATATATATATATATATGTATCACTTGGTTGTCTGACGATTATTTTCCGGCACTCACACACAGACAATCTCAAACACGCGCACACATGCATAAGAAGAAGGGGAGACGTGACAGAGTCAAAACTGCACACAGACAAGGATAACCAGAGGAATTCAACCATGCACACATGGGGGAGGTCAGACAATGACCCTCACTCTTCGACAGACTCCCAACAAACAATCACAATAAAGAACTTTAGCAAGATCAGAATTCATATGATGCTGATGATGAACCAACTCCAACGAATATCACAACAGAGTTTGTTTCAGTCCCTTGCTCCCCAATCGATTTCCCTCATTCTACTAATAGAGTACATTAATCTAACCTACACCTATACTGGACTGACTAACTGACCAACACCGTTGCAGTTTCGGCCTCTCGGCCTCTACCGGACCCGACTATAGGCTATAGAACCGTCTATCAGCTTAGGCCATTATGACCTGTCTGTCGTGGGGGTAGTCCGGGCCTGCTATTCGCAGCAAGAGTAGTAGAGAGGAAATTCGGATTACTGCTAGGCCTATATTTCCCATATTTACACATATAGCCATCACGAATTTTCCTCACGGTTTCGTCTCACGGTTAGCCCCCAGTCGAACAAAATTAAAAATGTAACCCTACGGGGTAGTATATAGCCTCGCCATCAGTCTTGAAAGTCAGACTGAGAAAAAATAGATATACATATACAGGTAAAGAGACGGACAAAGTATATATCATAATGTAGCGTAACAAACAAGACACCATGAGATATATGTCAATGAAATTCGGATCACCAGACCGATGTCAGGTCAACGATAAAGCCATTCAACCACTCAAACGCTGAACAACTCTATATTATCACCCTCAGATTCGGAGCTCGATGTCTGGACCTAATCATCGCATGCAGGCACCGCATCGTCCTCCACGTGACCGATGATGAAGACACGGTTCTCCCCTACCGCCTCATGGTCGGAACCTGAGGCAGCATCATTAACAACTTCCACCGGGTCGCCCCCACTGTTGACGAACAAATCACTCGGCAATGGTCCGGCTCCATAAGGACAAACCTCCTGCCACAGAAGCTCTCGAGCCCAGTCTGAAACATGAGCCGAACCAAACACTGACGCCGCCAATCTGTCCTCCCAACAGTCGATCGCCTCGTGACCATAGTGTCGACGGAAGCCTGGTCTCGCACGTATGGAAGTGCCCGCAGCAATGCGAGCAACATACCCGACCGGGTCGCGCCAGCAGTGACTGTTCCACCGAATCATTGCGATCGACAAACGTGCACAGAAAGACTTCTCGAAATGCACCGACTTCTTCACATAGATAATGATGGTGCCCTGAAAAGTCTCCACCGCCGATGTGTGCCGAAACTCGACGTAGTACGGTGTGATGTTAGTGCTGCATTGTTTGTCGAGAACACGCAGAACGAGCTCGTAGACCGTGTCCGTGCGGCTATACAAAGGCAATCGTGCACGCCCACCGACCTTCTCGCACAGAACCTCCCTACCGTGGACACATCCCGAATGATCACCAGCCCAATGATCGGCGACCAACAAGATGTCGCGGTGTAGACTGTCGGCGTCTCCGCCCTCCTCCCTGCACAGCTGGCAAGCGCGGAGGAACCACATCCCAACCTCATGCGCATGATACTATGTCAAGCCGTCTGGATCAGTCTCCAACGCTCGAGGATTCAACCTCGATCCGTAGGGGTACATCTTTCGCATTACAACAACGACGAAATCCGATTTCTTCATCCGCTCCTCAGCAGGTGTGAGGACGTCAGGTCTGAAACGCTGCTCCAACGCCTCCTTTAGCCGCTTCTTCGTGAACTGCATAAACTGCGTCTCTGACACACAGTCGTGCGGGCTGCTCACTTTCTTCGCTTCCTTCAGTTGCAGTATACTGTGGAAATGTTTGTGAATGTTTTTTATTTTGTGGTGGCAATATTTCTGCCACTCGATGTTCATAGCTCGCAACTTCGATCCCAGCGCGACACAATCATCCGAGACAACGCACCGGATCTTCAACCCCTTGTCCATCAGCCCTCGCAAAAGTTGCACGACGGCTGGCACCTCAAGCGCATTCGATGCCTTGCCTTCAATCTTCGGACGGAGAGTGTTAACACCTACCACAAGCCGAGTCTCGAACTCCATCGAGGTGACAGTGCAATGTTGCGCGCCTCTGGCAGAGTCATATCGACCATCAACCATCAATGTCACTGGCTCACCACGGCGCATCACAGTGTCAATGGCAAGCTCGCAATATTTTATGCCCTGCCGTACGACCTTGGCATTCCACCCCTCCGGCCCCCCCGGTTCTGTGCACATAAACTTGTAGAAAGTGGGTTTGTGCACCGAGTACATCCCTAAACAAACACAAAAGTTGTCAAGCAGCGTGAACGTAAGGCCGGCGGTGACCGTCGCATGAAAGAGTTGCTGCATCAGTCGCGACTGATAGACGTTTGTGGTCACGAGTGTCGTGTGCCACATCCTTTTGCATTTCTTGTCGCATACGAACGTCAGCTTACAGAGTTGCGCAGGATAGGAGACGGACACACAGACACACGACACGAGCCCTTGTGCCACGAGCAATATAGATGAAATATGGCCAGCAATTGAAGAAGCTTGACCGGCTCTAGAAACACAACATCCGGCGTCGTCGGTCCACTCCACAACGCCATCGCCTCCTCAATACTGGCACGGTCAATTTCAGGTCCAGGACCGCACTGGTCAACACCGTCCCAACTATCCCACCACGTCTGCGGTCGGGCAGGTGTCGGTGTGCAGCGACCCCCGCTGCGGGGTCTGCCGCCCCCTCTGTCACTGCGCTGCGATGCGCGACGCGATGACGGGAACGAGTTCTGTGATCCGTCATGAGACTCCCCCAGCCCTCCGCTCGCTAAACCCTGCGAACCCCCCTGACCGTAGTCAACACCGGAATCGCCTGGCATATAACGCAACGTGAAATCTCGACCACACACCCGAGATGGCAACGAAGAAGAAATCACATTTGCTTCCTCGCCTCCAAACTCCACACGGATGGCTGGCAAGGACCAGTGGAGCAGCCGATCAATAACGTCGCTGACCGGTCCGCGATGGTCACCCACACCGGCCATAGCGTCCCGGAGAGCGTACAACCGTCTCCGACATGCGTCCCACACACACACTCGCACGATGCTGTTGCCGGCCGAACACGGCGTGCCGCTGACTGCCGCAGAGTTATCCACATCACCAAACGGAGGTGTGGAATCAGGAGCGACATAGGGAGCCTGAGGCGGCACCACAAACGAGCCCGCCGCCGCGCCCACGACTCCTGGACATGAAACGGTTGGACAACGCCTAGCGCCACTGCGATCTCCTGAAAGAGAACCGCCTCCAGCGGGACATGGCGGGGCCACCGCATGTGACCATACAGGTGCTAAAGGAATCGTGGCGACATAGTCCATTCTTCTAGGCAACAGTGGGGATGGCAGCAATGGACCACCATACACACCTCCATACGTGGCCGCGTCACGAACCCCGGCCACACCCGGCGGAGAAGCCCCCAACACACCAGCGAAAGGTGAAATGGGTGTCATGCCCGGGCCAACGACGCTGTCAGTCGCATGCGAAACGGTACCGCGGCGCCGTTTCCCCAACCAGACCTCCGGGCCACCGCTGTGTGGTGAATCACCCAACAACCCATGCGAGGATCGGGCGTCCCATGCGGAGATCCCATAATGGGCGATGATCAAGCGGGACAACGTCTCCACCTCTCGATGACATTGTCAATGTCAGGGTCTGCACAGCACCGAGAGTCGGACAAACACAAAGTAAGGAGTAGGCTATATATAAATATATATATATTCATTCAACGGAAATGTGTGTGTGTGTGTGTGTGTGTGTGTGTCAAAGAGGGAGAGAGAGAGAGAGAGAGAGAGAGAGAGAGAGAGAGAGAGAGAGAGAGAGAGAGAGAGAGAGAGAGAGA